ACAAAACAAAAGTTAGATACTGTTGGTTTCAACAGGATGGTGCGCCCACGCACAACGCTCTAATCGTGCCAAAATACCTCTCGGATAACAGTTTCCAACTTTTGTTTTTTGTATATATCGCTAAAAAATGCTACTTAATACAGGGTGTACTTTTTTTACGGGTCATATAAAAAAAAAAGTTGACGGTTTCTCCGAAACGGTGTCTCGTAGAGCTCACAAAGTGGCAATGAGAAAGTGTTTTTTTGCATCTGTCCAAATAACATCCAAATCGGTAAATTTCGGTTTTTCTGGCATATCTTCGGAAGTAATGGGAATTTTCTGGTTTTCTTTAAAGCAATTAATTGAGCAACTTTTCCCTAATTTGATCATTGTCGTATATTCTATGGTTTCGGAGATCTCCACCATTATCTTGGAAACAGTGTATATGAAACTGAATGTACATAGTATATACATAAGATGTATAGAACGCTGGCTATTATTTTGCGTTCCAGAAGAATTTGCGATTTTTGATGTAAAAGTGATATCATAACTAATTACATGTTTTGTCTATTTAGGTACAATTAAGACTCATTTGTACTGTAATTTATAAACGTATATTTATAACACGCGAGCACGAAATACTACTCATCAATTCGGTGTCGATGTTGAAACTTAAACCAAACACAATTCAATTTGCTTTTACAGAACACAAAAATCTTCTAGCAAGTTCTCGAACAAAAACAAAATGTTTCTCGGAAACACATCCGCTTTCGTTTCTTGACTTGATGGCGCCCCGATGTCTGTATATTTCTAGAATATTTACTACAATATTAATGGAAATAAATTTTGAATAATAACCGACCATTCCTAAAACTCTCTTGATTCCTTCTTGATTTTTTGGCCTTTGGGTTTTAGTAATCGCCGTAATTAGGGTCCTTTGAAGTTTCCTTTTTCAGTAACGTTTTGCTTTCTTCAATAGGACTTGCCTTGAAAAATTCAGACTGAGTAATTTTATCGAAATATATCGGAAAGATAAAAGATCTGCCTATATTTTATTAATAATGTCGTTCATTAGGGGCAGTTTTTTTAATTTTGATGAGTCCCTTTATGCACAATATACTCAAGAAATTGCATTTTGAGTTGAAAGCTACTTTGTACATCCAAAATTTCGGATAATCTTAAAACGAAGTCCAAGTTAATGTTTGTGCACGTAATTTTATTACCTACTGATTATACAGGGTGTCCATTATGTATGGAATATAGCATATTCTTGTATAGCATATTCTTTTTCTATATAAAAGTTGTTTATGTCCCATAATAAGGCAACGTTTCCGTTTTTACGTGCTGCCTAATGCTATTAGAATTGCCCACGGTGACAAAGGGGTGTAAGTAGGACTCGACTAAATATATAATTTAATGGAATGAGATATTCATAAGTGTAGTGCAATTGCTTTGAAAGGCACTTTTGATGTTAAATTTACACTTACGGATTGCGTGTCAAGGTTGTACGAGGAAGCTTTTTACTGCGACAAACGCTGGCGCCTGTGTCTTATGCACCACATCTTTCACGTCATAATTTCCTAAAAAGCACCCTACACAGTGTACCTCGATCGTCAATGTCGCATATTAAGTATTGGTTATTGTCTCGAACGAAATTAATAGTTAATGACCGCGCCATTAACTTAGTTATTATTATGCTGAATTTATTAGCATATATTTATAACGCTAAACGACCTACACCAACATTCCTTAGCGTGAGGAATGTTGCCGTTTACACGAGGATACGTTAACCCTTTTTTTCGACATTCTTGGTCGTGCGACATATTATCCATTGTTAATGATTGTTGACACGTTCCCGAAATCGTTTCACAATATTTTGGCAGGTCGATTTATAGCTCGATATTAATTACCTAAATGGCACGCCGCCTCTGTCTTTGGACATACGCTGTAACTAATTGCTGAATTGACACTTACAAGTGTAAATTTACTGTTTTAAATTGACGCTTATGAGTAGGTATACACTTGTAAATTTGTTCAAAAACTGACACGTAAGTCGAATGTGTCTTTTTCCGGACTTCGGAAACGTGCTTTCTTAAGGGGTCTATTTTGTATATTGTCGTTAACAAACGATATCGTAATCGTAACGATTTGATCTTGAACGACAGCTATATCATCACTGTTATATGTTATATGTCATACAGAATAGAGAAAGTCGTTGCCGAACGATAACCGTTGTGTAACGACATCGTTACGCGTTAGAGAATTTTATGGTTTAGCAAACTGCAAGTGCAAGTGTGAGATTGGTGGCCTATAGGACTGTCGGTCAGAAAATAATATTGCATTTTACAAATATGTTGATATTTGGTACTTACAAAGGGACGAATAGAGCATGCTACTACCTTATAAACCAATTATTTAGGTACTAAACTATTTCGGTTTAAAAAATGCACTTTAGTTGTTTTTAATATGTCAGAGTACAGTTTTTAAGCCACTTTTGTTGGCAGAGTGAACATGTACTTTTATTTCGTAAACGTTACTATTTTCAACAATGTCCGGGTCATAAAACCATAAAAACTCAAAATTTTAAGTGGGCTAACTATGTTCAAAGCCTTCTAGAATTTTGAAATATTTTCAAAAGTCTTCAACAACCCTAAAGAGTTTTTAGGGATCTTTTTGAGATTGATTCAAGAGTATCAAATGGCCCACAGCATGTTAATAGCCTCTAGCTTCTGATGGTACCTTACTAAGAGAACTTATAATATCCTTTAAAAGTACCTATTTAATAGTCCAATTAAAACCCTTCGCGAACTTTAGACATATAAAGGTTTTCAAAAATGTTTAAGGGTCTTTAAGAGTTACAGTTTCTAAAAGCACCTAAGAGACCATCCAAAGGTTTTAAAAGCCTCTATGTGTTTGCAAATATTTACTTCTTTGCCTTCTAGACGCTTTTAAAAATTAGAATCTTTGAGATCCTTTACAGCTACAGAGTTTTAAAAAACCTTGAAGGACTGAGCCTTTAGAGTTGAAGGTCTTTAAAGGTTTCAGAAGTCTCAAAGGAGCGGTTAGAACCTATATTACTTTTTAAGAGCCTTTAAAACCCTTAGTCTTTGTGAACCTTTAAGGGTCTGTATGAGTCATCATTAATCTCATAGAGGGTCTCCAAAAGTCTTTGAAAGTGTCCATGGGGACTGTATTGCTTCTTCTTCTACTCGGAGCTCACAATCCTAGGATTGGTTGGGGACGCAGTCTTCCACCCTTTCCAATTCTGCCCTAATCTTTTCATTTCTACATAACTGCATTTCTACGACTGTGCTTTCCTCGGGACCATAACCAGCCTACTTTGTTGAAAGTGGCATGGCATCTGCTCTGTCTCATATATACTACTTAGTTTAAAGAGCCTATCTTGCACTTTTGTTCCCGAATGTTCCCTATCTCTACAGCTTCTCCTGTTGCTTTCCCTACCGTTAAAGTCCTTTATAGTTTTGTCGAACTCTACCCTAAGTATTCAAAATCCTAGTTCTTTATCTGTGATATTTGGTTACTCTAATTCTGATAACGGTTCTTCTGCCCTATACAAGATGATTCAAATTTGAGGATCACCATGGGGATCTCGGAAACTGTAATAGATAGGTAAATGCCGTTTTGAAGCTGAAAAAATTCCGACTACTTTCGGAGCTCTATCTCTTTCACCTTCGTGCCCAGAAGTTGGCATATAAACCTGAATCGCTATCATGTCCACTCCTCGGTACTCTTCTGACCAAAAATCACCCTCTTCTTTCCACTTAATTACACTTAACTCTACAATACCTAAATCTAACCTAACCATCTCTTTTTTTAAATTTTCTAATCTGCCTATCCTCCCAAAACTCGTTACATTCCGTGCCCTTATTCGCATAAGGTGCTCCTTAAGCGTTTTTTGCCCTCCCCAGAGAGGCTGACTGCTTCGTGCAGAGTAGTGTGTACCATTTGGTAATACACCTTATGAATATTTAAGAGCGCCCATAAGGAATTCTTTAAATGTGTTGTAGCGAAAGTTATGGTCAAAAATCCGATTTCCAAAAAGGAAAAAAAGAAAAGGTAAACGTTTGATATGTTCAATCTTCAATATTTTGGTCTATAAGAAATAGTTATTTGCATAAAAGTCAGGAAAATGGCACATTACTGGATAGGAAATATTAAAGTACGAGGCCCCTTTGGGGCCGAGTGCTTTAATTTACGAGTCGAGTAGTGTGATTTTACTGACGAGTTTTGTATTAAATTTGACACAAAAACCGCATTTTAATATAAACTTTCAATTTCCATATTCATTAATGTTAATGTGTCAGTGATGACAGGAGTCATTACAGACGTTACCAATGTGACAGCACAAGTGCGACAGGAAACGTGACGGGTGTGGCCGGTACAGTGACAGGCGGCACGAAAAGTAGCCTGGTCTGCCTCTGTCATGGAAATTTAACTTTCCTGACAAAGTAGTCATGAAAGTGAAGGTTTCAGGACGATTTTGGGTAAAAGTCATTTTCAGGACGATCTAATATTGATCGATTTTTAGTGAAATAGCAAGCTTCTTCTTTAAAAAAGGTGTTCATTTCACATGCATTCTACTGAACTGCAGAGTACATAGAATGTGTCACGTTTTGTTCTCTTATCGATTTATATACCGTTTAAGTGACCTTAGATTTGTGTTCTTATTTAAATTTTTTACTCTAATGTATTCTCACACCTTCTATTTCCTTTGTAAACCCTTTTAGTGAAATGATTTCTTGTTTTCTAGATTTCTTATTACCGTAGTTCTTTGTTTCGCCGTTAGAGGCCCTCTGGTACAGTTTTCTATTACCTGGTTCTTTGTTTCATCGTTAGAGATTGTGATCGTCTTTTCTTTTTTTTCCTACGCCTTCTTGTTAGTGAAGATTCTATCTTCATATTGATTACATGTAAATTATTTCTTCGGTAAGCTATTACTTTTCTACTGACTTCGCCTCTACCTGTACGATAAATTTATTTTTCTTATATACACTATTAAGTTCTTTAAGCAAGGCATCAATTAATCTCTAACATTAAACCTAATCCACTTTAAATATTTGAACACCTTTAAATGAGTCTGCGGCTGATCATTCCCACATCCGTAACTTGAAGATATTCCCTCAATAAACCACCGATGCTTCTTCGAATGCATCACCGGTCCACCTTCATCTCCGAAGCACGTGACATCCGTCGAGTTTTTAAAGTCTTCACTGCAAATTTGGTAAGCGGTTAGTGGAGTTATTAAGCTGAGCAGTTTCAGCTTTTCCTTGCAAACTTCGATCGGAATTAGAGTTGTGCGAATCTTCTTCTTAATGGTACTGCTATCCGTCCCCATTTTGTTCGATCCAAAGCCCGTCGTGTATAATGTCTCCCCGTACGTTGCGAGATCCTCTTGGGATTTTGGGAGGCAAATGGGACGTACATAGTCTAAGGCTTCATTATAACTATGGGTTTGTATGAACGTGCGACTTACCAGTAAGTGAGACTCGTTTGTCAAGTCGTAAAAGTGCGATATCGTTGATGAAAGTAAACCTATTATAGAATGGGTGAACGATTTCTTCTTCCACCTCGTATTCCTGAACGTCACTGCAGTCGAGCAAATCGAATTGATTTAATTGGACACAATCGGTTAGGTTTTTGAGGGTGTAATCGCCCAGACGTACCATTATCCTAGAGACGACGTTTAAGACAAATTAATTTGGGCGCCACTTACTTGTCGTCTTCGTAAAACTGCGAATCGCACTGTCCAGAGGTGAGGACGTATCGTTCCGTTATTAAAGTTCCTCCACAAATGGCGTCCCTTTGATCGGGCAAAGTTGCGTTGACAATTACGGCTAACCACGGAAATTCGTCTACTGATATGAGATCGCTTGATAAGTAGTAGTCGTCTCTGTGCTGTAGCCCGCAGTATTTAAAATTGGAAATTTCAAGGTTCACGTCCGGAGTTTCGGGAGGGATTTTAAAATTCGGTTCAATTCCACAACATACTTTCAGCGTGTAGAAGTCTCCATCGGAATCTTCATATTCGTATTCGCAGACGAAATCCTCTAAGGCATCTACGTTGCTTGGTGAGGCATTGGCGAACGCGTCGTTTAGCTTGGGACAGTCGACAAGGTGCATGCACTCGCCCGTTTCGTTGTACGGAGTGTGGCACCGTTCTAAATTGTAACCAGTAAGCATAATTATCCGCATCAGAGAAATACTCACCTCCACCCATCGCTTCTTGGATCCATTGCAAGTAATTCGATACGCGGGTATACGTTTTGATTCGTTCACCCTGAGACTGAAATCCAAGGAGATACCATCGATTGTTCTGTAAAGACATGGCTGGAAACCCAATGGAGTGATCTTCCAGTTGATCGTCAGTGGTAGTGCACATCTCGTAGCTCGTGGTGGGGTATCCGGTGGCGCATTCTTCATTAGAAATATATCGATACTTGTGCATTCGTTGAAGCGAAACGTCGCTCCTCTGGAAGGTTCGATTCCAACCCGCAGTATATAACTCTTGTGGCGATTTTAATCGGTCAGAGGGTAGGGGCAAGCAAATAGGTTTAAGGGACTCTGCAAGTACTCTGAATTAAGTAAATGCTCGTGAGAGAGGATCATACCTGAAAAAATTACTCGCCTACTCAATCTCAGTATGGCTATGTCGTTTAGTTTCGTTTCACTGTCGTAGAAGGGATGAATGGTGAAAACTTCAATTTCGTAATTATCGAAACCGCTACACCCTGGCGAGTATCTGGTTGTCTTACATTCATTTTTTGCATCGTGTGCGTTGATTCGTACGACTGGAAGGAAGCATGTCAGCAACAAAGCGATTGTGAGTGTTTTTTTTTAAAATAAACCAATGGTAAAAAAACCTTTCAGTTTGGAGCTATACCTCCAAAATCAAGTAATACATGAAAGTGTCGTAGTGCTATCACAAGGACCGCGTGCCCCTAAAAATAGGGGTTGATCAGAATCCTACATTGAGCAAAGGATTGCAGTTTTGTAACCCTTTTCTTTAAATTCTTGGTTAACTATACAGGGTGATTTTTTTCACTTTCACTAATACACTCATAAACCGTAAGAGATGCAAAGTCGCTTCAATGGGCAAAGCTCTGCAGAATTTCCAGCTGATTAATTTTTCTATTCAAAGTTTCTTGCAGCTCTACAAATAGTAAGGTTATGGTAAAAAAATCGAAAAATGTCATTTTGGAGAATGCACTGGCGTTCAGTTATTTTCAAAGATATCAAGAAATTATTTTAACATACCCTTAGTAATTTTTTACAAAACTCACCCTGTATACCCCGGATGTATAATATTTCAACTTATTTTTTACAACAGTAATGGCATCGCGTAGTTTACTGATTGAGAATCACAGAAAAAGATCGTTAATTAATTGTCTTTCACCTTTTTACCGGTTGCCACTTTATTCAAAATCTTTTCAGCAAAAATCCGATACAACTGAATACTGAACGATCCTCGGGATCTTCACACATACATACCACACCGCATTTGGAAATTATATAATTTAATGGTACTGTGAGCCCTATTTTGGTTGAGACTGCAGTGTATTTCAGCTGTTTAAGATAGGCACCACTTTTTTGTACAACCACAGACAATTTTTTTTCGGGGCAAAAAATTTTTTTTTCCAAAAATCGACTGCACCAAAATTTCTTGGGAAAACACTTTTTCTTATTAATTTTGATGCGTAGAATCCAAAACAATTCGTACTTTTTCGATCAGACTTCTCAATCAAAAGTTATAGACTAGAAACCAATTTCCTTGCCCTTGGGCCACATAGAGATTTCAGGTTTTCGGTAATTGATAGCTGCTGTGGTCTATATGTGCCCGTTACCCATCATTGACAGTTACACCCACGAGTGAGTTAGGAAACATTTTTTAAATTGTAGCCATGAAAATCAATAAAAACCCTATTTTTTTACTGTTTTTAAATAGTAGGTCATGGCGATTTTGTTTTGTTTATTGTATCCATAGTATCTAAGGCAACCCATGCCAATCAATAAAAAGGCTAACGATAGAAACATGTCATGAAAATTTTTAAAATATGGTATAATATCTCGTAATTGTACAAAAAAATAGAGGATGTGATACATAATTGTAATCAGCAAAAATAATGCAAAAATTGACGTTCAGATATACAGGGTGTTGCATTTAAAAAATACCAGCCTTGGATCAAACCACAAAAACAGTGGTCTCAGAGACAAATGCAGCTAGATTGGTTTCACAAAATAGTTGCACAGGGTCGCAAAAACCGCAAGTTTCTATCTTTAAAAACAACTAAGATACACTGCAGTGTCAACTAGAATAGGACATGCAGTACAGTAGTTTTTTATGATGCGGCCACCCGCTATATGTGGAAACCTTAAAATGGTGCTTGATGATAAATGAGTTTGACACGCCTGAGACATAGCCGAAAAACAATAGCGACCTTTCTTATATCTTGAAGAACATGTGTATCAATTTTTAAAATGATCGGATGTTTCTGCATCAAGTTATCGTGCACACGGACAGACAGACGAACAGATAAACGAACAGATAGACCATCAGGCAGACGGACAGACAAGCAGCAATATAAAATTATAAACGATCTTGAGGATCGTTAATAAATAGGTGTACAAATTTGATTGATAAAACTGTTTTTTTAACGTAACTAACCACTCCAAATATAACGTAATGAAACGTTCTATAATTTAACACCTTCTTCGTCATAATTTATTTTTATGCGAATACGCTACTCCGCTTATATAACGAAATGAATTTTTCGCACCATTCACGGTTGAAACTTATATCAGCCAGTAGTATTATTATTAACGTACTAGCAACTCGTCACGAATTTAAAACGCACTCCCAATAATAATTTCGTCGAAACGGCGACACAGTTTTCTCGATGTATTCCGGCAATTAGCTTTCACAATGGCATGCTCCGTTGCTACGGTTTTTAGAACCGGCAATAGTGTAGCGTTTCGACTTTTACCTGCTTGAACACTCGTTCTTATCTTAACGCTCTTCATTTTGTTGCATATTAGTTCTCTTTCCTTATGTAGCGGCACACGTATAACCATTTTCTATATCGGCAATTTTGTAAATTGAACAAAATAATCTAAAGCGACCACCTGTTATAATTTCCGTCAAAAAAAGGGTGGACGGGTATTTTTAACCCCAATGCAATTAACCGACAAATGCCATTTTTGAGACTGCGCTGGCATTCAGTTATTAGATAGTTCCCTGGAACCGACCGCGCAATTTAAACAGTCTAGGTATTTCTTGAACAGGTCTCGTATAAGGATAGTCGACTATCGTTTCCAAAAACATACAATTGCTAGTCATATAACTAAAATAATCAATTTGGTACACTTTTTTCTTACACATTTTTGTGGGGTTGCAATTAACAGTTATTCACAGGAATATTAAAACGTTTTCTGGAGTTTTTAGAGTTGTACAGGGTGGTCCAAGTTGGACACTTTCTTATGGTCCTTTATTTGAAGGGATAGAAAAAAATTGGATCTAGGTATCTGTAGCTCAATTTTAAAGAGAAAATCACCGGCGCAAACAGAATTCAGCTATCTCTAATCGTTTGGCTGCTAGGGGGCGTTTCTCGAATTTAGTCGATTTCTTTAATGCCCTTTCTTATTATTAAAGATAATTGAGTTTGGTAAAATCTTTCTTAGAGCACTTTTTTATGTAGAATCCATGTCGATGCACAGTTCTTATACAGGGTGTTTGGTTTTTCGTATACGATCTTAAACTACATTTTTTCATATCCATAGGTCGCTGGTCAAATCCGGCTCGAAAGACCAAAATTAAATATATGTAGCGTACAAAAGGTTGGTAGTTTGGGGTAAATAAACAGAGAAATATCGGTAAAAGCTTTACTGCCTATCGCAATACAAAATTAAATAAATCAATAATTGTAAATACAATACGGTCGGTTAACTAATGAAATAACTAAAAAGGCATGTGAAATGTGCAAGGACTTACGGTTCAGTTTTTTGGGAAACAATCTTGTGACAATGGGGAAATTTTCTTCTTCTTCCTTCTTAACTATTTATTTACTTATATATTATATTATTTATTTGTTTTATTCGCATGAGTTTTCACGCCCTCTGTTTTTTGTGTGTTATTTGAAATTAAAAATATTTGGAAGGAATAAAAATTTCCAAATAACCAAGAAATTGTCATTTGTCATTTGTTCGCTATGGAAATCTGGATGTCTGCAGTAAAAATATCTTAATGTATAAAAAGCAATATCGCAAATAATATTTAATATAAATACAGGGTGTTTACGGTCTTCTCTGTATCCTTTTAAGGAGATCAAAAGGAGTCGACAAACCCCAAAACACCTTAGTAAAAGTTATTTAATAAGCCAGATAATATTTGTTTTATTTTTTACATTAAACGATTAGTCTGTGTACAAATCTAATGGCCGTTTGCACCGACAAATTTAAGCGGAGCTTAGCTTAAGTGTAGCTTAAAATCCATGGCAACGATTATTGGGACAATGGTTGCCATGGATTTTAAGCTACGCTTAAACTAAACTCCGCTTAAATTTGTCGGTGCAAACGGCCATTACATTCCTTTTAAGCTGTACTGCCGCCCAGAGAAGACCGCAAACACCCTGTATAACAAGTAATACATCAAAATTTAGGAAATTTTACGGTCTTTTTAAAAACTCCAAAATATATGGTGGTGGTCTATATGAAAAAATGTAGTTTAGGGTCGTATATGAAAAACCATCATAAAGTGCTCTAAGAAAAGATTTTTCCAAAATCAATTATCTTCCATAATAAGAAAGTTATGCCGCATTAAAGAAATCCCCCCCCCCCTCACGGTCACACAATTAGAGACAGCTGAATTTTGTGTGTGTCAGTGATTTTCTTTTTAAAATTGAGCTCTTGGCACTAGGTCCATTTTCTTCTATCTCTCAAAATAAAGGGTTTTCCATAAGAAAATGTCCCACTTGGACCACCCTGTAAGAGCGGTTTAGCATTAGAGAGCATAAGAAGCACTCTCGCTCTGCAAAGGCACATAAAGCCATCTAGGAGGCTGTCATGATCTGAATAGCTTTCGAATGCATTAGAAATATTCTTGAAGACGCTTTGCATAACGTTATCGGCCATTTTCCGAGAGCATTGGAAAATTCTACTGAGGTATAGAAAACTGCAAAACAGGAACAGAGATCTTTGTAAAAGCCTAGAAAGCGCTGGGAAGGGCCTAAGTCTATAAGAAAATACGTTTTCTAGCGTATTTTCTTCGCTTTCTCGGCTCTTTCAAAGAGCTTAGGCACCAACAAATCTTTTAAATAAATTCTAGAGCCTTTGTAAAGTTTTCGAGAAATATCTTGACTTTTTTAGGTCTTTCCAAAGCTAAGCATGTTTAGGGTTGTTATAATGAGATCAAGGAGGGTGTCTAGTTTCTTGAACTGGAAAGCCTTCGACTGGAAAGCACATAATATTATAGGGAAATACTTGCAGACTTTCCATAACGATATTTGGACTTTCCAAACTAGACAAGTGTATAGGAAAGTGCCTCCATGAGTCTACGGAAGACCCAAAAAGCTCTGGAAAACCGTAAAAAATTCGTTTGAATATTATTTTTTATAAATTTAACAAAAAACCACCAAAAGAATGGCGTGGGTGGCACTTTTTTCCAATGGTTCATTTGTGAGGTAGAGCAACATTACTTACAGAAGTTTGGATCGTTCAGTATAACGCTATGGTGGCATTGCGCAGAGTAGAGCACATATCTCCTGTTGATGAGAGCTCCGGTACAAGCGACTTTTTCAACCCTATTCTCTTCGTGGAGCCTATTGTCAACGGTCATTATTTGAACCAGCCAAGGAAAGCTCGTGTCATTGCGAGCGATGCCGCACTTTTTACTATTCGTCAGTCCTTTAGGATCGTCCTCGTTGACCTCGAGGTCTTCATTTTCAAAAACCAAAAAATCACTAGGTTCTGGACAACACACCTTTAAACCCGAATCATTATCGGAACACACAAACTTTTTCAACGTATCGTCGATTCCATATTTCGGATTAGTAAACGACCATAAAAGCGACGAGCACGATCTTATCGGGACACATTTCCCTAATTGTCCCATCGGCGTTTTGCACTTTTCTGAAATGTCTTTTTTGCAAATATTAGAAACAATAAATTATTCTTACCTGCCGTTGCAAGTGCGCACAGTGCGTAAGTCAGCAAAAGGAAGTACATATCTACTTTTAACGGTCTACACGAAAACCTGATTATTTGTATCGTCACATTAATTAGGTAAAATTTGGTTCATTTCATTAATGGAATTACCATCAATCGTTGAGCGTGCTTGGGTTTGTACTTCGCATTACAGTCTAACCTGTTTTTCATCTTATATATTTATAAACGAGTTGTGGTGGGGTGGTGGATCGCTCGTACTCGCTATTGCCAAAGGTACCACTATAGTAACAATAAATAAAAGGTAACACTTTGAGGCGAGCAACTACTGCTTTTCATTCGGGAAGTGATTCATTACGACTCTCATCCGTGTACGCTTTCTCATAATTTGCAAGAATTCCAGAGAAAATTTGGACGAGATAGATAAAAATTGCATTTTTTTTGCATGGCCATCTCACTAAAAGTGAGATTTTTTAATATGAAGTTTTGCAACTTTGGATCTAGAAAAAAAACACCCTGTAAGCTATGATTTATAGTAGATGTATTTATTTGACTTTTACTTAACCCAGGATAAAGGATATAAAACCTGGAATCAAAATTTAAGTATTAATTTTGACAATATACTGACGCTTGCAAATGCCCATTTTTTCTTACAAATCGAATTAATTTAAAACTACTAATTTTTCGGATATTAACCATATAATAAAAAAGTCGTACGTAAAATTCAAAAACGTATTCAAATACAGGGAGTTCTATTTAAAAAAATGTACCATTTGGGCGCCCTACTTTGTAGGCGCACCCTGTATATTCCAAATATTTTTAAAATGTGGAGAATATTCAACCATATCATAATACAAAAGCAATCTATCGAAAAGTCTTATCTTCAATGCATTAAGTTACTCCGCGCAATCGTTGGCTCACCCTGTACATTAGGTAACTAAGTCAAATAATTATCATTTGCTATTTCTCCTCCTTTCCATCCTCTCAGTCTCCTTACCTCCCTCTTCAAATCCTTACCATCCCTTGTTCATGCACGCATAATTTTTACGTCCATTTTGTAACCCTTTTACGCCCTCTTTGTGTTTCTTTCACGTCTTGTGCAAGTACTCCCTTACGTTATTTTTATACCTGCTCCATAATCACTTCTCCTTCAGGTTTCTTCACGCCTTCTTTTTCCCTTTTTCGCACCTTTTTGCGTCTTTTGAAATCTGTCTCAGACTTGCTTTCCACTCTCTTCATTCCAGATTTAAATCTTTCTTTTTTCATACACGCATTACTTCGGGCCCGTTAACTTGGCCCCCCCACTGAGAGATTTCATAGTCGTATTATTTTGAAATGAATACGCTCGTTATGCGCTCATATGCGCCACCGATAATAACTCTTGCGCCATTATCGTTTTTTAGAAATCCGAAAAAACATCTGGGGGGGGGGGGGCAAGGGAACGTAGCCCCCCCCGTACGTATTTTGTACCTTGTAACTAGGTCACGTGATACATTTGGTTATGCGCTCAATTGCGCCACTTGAATTAAAGCTAGCGCCATTACGGTTAAGCCGTGACAAATTTTCAAAAAGTGGGGGGGCCAACTTTGCGCCATTATTGTTTTTTGGTTATCCTTAAATATATTTGGGGGGGGCCAAGTGAACGGAATCCCCCATAACGCATTTTGCTACCGGTATTTGTGCCACTTGATACATCTGGTTATGAGCTCAATTGCGCCACTTGAATTAAAGCTAGCGCCATTACGGTTAAGCCATAAAAATTTTTAAAAAGTGGAGGGTCTAACTTCGCGTTTTCAAAAGTTATTTCCGGAAGTGCGTCCATTTTGAAAATATTTTACATCGATTCGGCCTTCGGAGTAACTCCTAAATACAAATTTTTCAAAACCTACCTATTTTACTTTCTCAGAATCGTTTAACTAAAGCTCCCAAAAAACACCCTGTATAGTGTTTCTGAAACACTATAATGGCGCCAAAATTTTTGTTTACGGCGCATTTTAGCGCATGATGAAAGGTACGACGTAGTAGAAAAAACATGTTAAAAAACGTAGCTTTTGAAAACGTTAAGTTAGCCCCCCCCATTTTTTAAAATTTTTTTATGGCTTAACCGTAATGGCGCTAGCTTTAATTCAAGTGGCGCAATTGAGCGCATAACCAAATGTATCAGGTGACCTAGTTACAAGGGACAAAATACGTACTGGGGGGGGGCTACGTTCACTTGCCCCCCCCCCAATGTTTTTTCGGATTTCTAAAAAACGATAATGGCGCAAGAGTTATTATCGGTGGCGCATATGAGCGCATAACGAGCGCATTCATTTCAAAATAAAACGACTATGAAATCTCTCAGTGGGGGGGCCAAGTTAACGGACCCCATTACTTTTTTACCTTTCCCTTCGTACCCTCTTTACATCTTCTTTAGGCCTACTATTAGAAGTTTTATTCAAAATGATTTTTTAGGGCTTGCTTATGTTCTTCTTAATTGATCATTAATTAATGCCCTTTCTCTGGTTATTTGTCCGTTGTAAAAACACGTAACACCTGAGATTAGTCATTAAGAAAGATGGAGACATTTAAGAATAATAAGGGCGTTCAAGAATCTTTAAGAACTTTCAAAGGTTTTTGAACAACTTATTTTCAAGTGTTTTCGGGTCCTGTAAAATATTAAAAGGTAAAAATTGAGGAGCGTACAAAAGACTATCGAATAGAGAAATAAAATAGTGGTAGCTGGTTGAAAAAAAATAGTTATGACACTGAAATATGGAAATGTTACTGTTTTTTGTGAACACCCTGTAAATTCAATTTTCTCATTACCAAAGTGTTGTCTTTTGTTCAGATTCACATTATTGATCAATGTATTTTCTAACTTTCAAATCAAGGTGGCTACGATTTATCAAAGTGGGGGTGGCTTATAGAGAATTATTCGGAAAAATTAATAATTTGGCAACATTGACAAAAAATCAAATAGTGATAGGTTTCCATGCAGAAGTTAAAAAATGACATCGAAACAACTAAACATATACAGGGTGTTCCATTCAAAAAATCAGTTGTCTATTAATACCGTGTACCCTGTACATTTAAAAATAATTTCTGTTTCATTTCATTTACAATACGATTCAATTTACAAAACAAAATGGATTTGAGCAAAGAGTTCTATCCAAATACAAACGCAAATATGAAAACACGGACGCTTTCGGTAACGCAAATCGATAAAACAAAGTCTGGCAAAGCGTATTTATGACAATAACAATCGAATCGGTTGTTTTTTTCGTTGAATCGGTGCGATATAAAACTCCCCAGCCGAAAAATAATTTACAACGAACGCTTTACACACAAAAATTCCTCTTTATATCGCTTACTAAAGCAAGAATAAACACCAATTTGTGGGGAAAAGCCCCGAACTCATAATTTTTCATATCTCTCCCGCTCTTTATTTACTGCGGAAAATTAAACCTCGATAACCTCTATTGGAAATTTTTCTCGAGCCATTTCATCCCGCGCGCCGCGGAAGGGATCTTTTCGGAGAGGAAACGCGGAAACGTTCCAAAACGTGAGATTAAATAAGTAATTTCGGTACTCCGCGGCCCCGAAATCAATCGAACTTTTCCCCTACAAACTAACGAAAGCGTGACTAACGGTCCCTTTCCTGGAGGGGTGAATGAGTCATACGTCACGGGTAGGTATTTTCGCTTAGTTAACCGATTATTTTGGGGACATTAATTGATTTTGCATAACTCGAAAATGCGATTCGGTGACTTCGCAATTGTCGACGAAGACAAATTATAGCGCGAGAGGGAAGGTGTCGGGGCCTCGCTCAAAAGTTGAAAGATGCAACAGCAGTTTAGAAGCAATTTCGAATTCTGACGTCGCGTCACGTTTACTTTAGACCAAGTTCTGAAACTATTTATTCTCGAGTATGAATACAATTTGCGCTACACGAGCACTGTTTAGTCAACGTTTACGTTTTATAGAGACAGCGAAAGGGATGGCACAATAATAGGTTTGGTTGTATGCTTTCTAAGCTTTATTCTATTTGAGCGCCTTAAATTTCCATTTATTGATTTTAAAAAGGGTTGTAAGTGAAAGTTGCATTGATTCCAGGGGGAACTTGGACTTATTTCATTTATGGGTAGATAAGTCAACACTCACCAAGCTTTTTCAATTATTATAGAGCGAATTCTTGCCAAAAATTGAGTATCTGCGTTACAACCAAGAAAAGATTCATGCAAAACAAGAAGAATGCCGCCACATTGAAAGGTAGTAAGGCATAAATACTATAAAGGAAACATAAACAATCAAAAGTAAATGACAAAGAAGATGGAATACCCCCCAGCAATACGAAGTTTTTATTACCTTTTCGCAAAGTAATCATGTCAGAGCGAGCTAGGGGTGTTACTAAAAAAATGATCAAATCCTCCTTTGCGGAGATAGTCCAGGCCCTAGAGCTCAAAACAGGGGTCCACCTTGCAAATTTCTGAGACAAAGAACCAAGATGCAGGGTTTATGTTTTTTGGGTCGCTGAATCCGAATTTGACATTTGCACAAAAACCCCCATGACGCGGGATCCGCCATCTTGGAAAAATGGCGGAAAAGCGGCGGTTTTTCCACAAAACCCGAAATAACTCATTTGGTATCGGTTTTTTGGCGAAAAAACTTCAGTAATAAATTAAAGTACATAAAATTTCCTGAGGTCGCGAATGACGTCAGTTCCGTTTTTTGCGTGCGAAATTTGAAAATTGAGAAACGTCATTTTTGGGCCGAATTTCGTCGCACAGTAGTGGCGTTAGTTTTTATCCGATTTTCATGAACAAGGACTCATCTCAAAGGAAATTTTATGTACTTTAATTTATTAATGATGTTTCTTCGTCAAAAAACCGATACCAAACGAGTTATTTCGCGTTTTGTGGAAAAACCGCCAATTTTCCGCCATTTTTGCAAGATGGCGACTCCCGCGTCATCCGAATTTTTGTGCAAATGTCAAATTCGGATTCAGCGTCCCAAAAAACATAAACCCTGCATCATGGTTCTTTGTCTCAGAAATTTGCAAGGTCCAACCTCTGGGGCCTGGACTAAGAGTACTACTTTGGAGTATTACATACATGGTATGCAGGGGTATTCCATATCATGTATGGAATACTCCCCAGTAGTACCCTCAGCAAAGGAGGATTTGATCATTTTTTTAATAACACCCTTGGCTCTGACCATGTAT